TTGATATTAAATATACAGTTATGTTAAGGACAACATAAACCCATTAGCAAAGCTTCAATATATATGGGCTACCTATCTATATACAATTCATACCTTGCCACCTTTCAAAATAGTCATTTTATGAAATGTCACCTTTCTGACACTCTTTGGTGTTTATTCTGGCTACAGGATTCATTTTGAGTTCAAGTATGGGCTTTAATTCCAGGCCTCATGTATAAATAATAGTAATAATAACACTGATAGATAGATAGATAGATAGATAGATAGATAGATAGATAGATATACAATAGATCTCTCTCTCCCCCCCCCCCCCTCTCTCTCTCTCTCTCTCTCTCTCTCTCTCTCTCTATATATATATATATATATATACATATAGTAGATCACTCTATCTTTCTCTGTCTCTCTCTTTTATATATATGTATTAAAATATCTCTCTCTCTCTCTGTATAATATATATATATATATATATATATATATATATATATATATATATATATATATTTATATATATATTATAGATTACTCTCTCTCTCTTTATAGATATATGCATTAAAATAGACCTCTGTCTCTCTCTGTCTCTCTGTGTGTCTCTAGACCCATATCTTATAGATCTCTCTCTCTTTTTTATATATATATATATATATATATATATATCTTTCTGTGTTTGTGTGTGTATATATATATATATATATATATAAATAAATATATATATAATGGGTATCTCTCTCTCTCTCTCTCTCTCTCTCTCTATATATATATATATATATATATTTATATATATATATATATATATATATGAAAGATAAAATATACATTTATGTATGTGACAAACTCAAACCCATAACCAGTGCTTCAATGTACAAGTGCGTCTATATGTGTGTATGTAACAGGTGTATTTTAGAAGATTTTTTTTTTTTTCAAAAACCCTAAGCTTGGTCTCGGCACCTTTACAAAAAAACAATCCGTCGGTTTGCACGGGATGAAATGCAAACTTTTTTGGCTGCCATAGTTGACATTTTGTTCAGAATTGAGTTAGCAGGGTATTAATTATTTCAGAGGGAGATAAAACTCTCGTAGCCCTAACAGACAAATAGGCCCTTTTCAGGATTTTAATTACAAAATAAAATGAGGCAAGCTCTTCCTTGCAAGGGTTTGTGAGTGGTTAAACAGAGCTTTCCCCCCAATACTGGTGGTCGTCAGCCTCCACTAATTAGCAATGCTGAGAAATTCCTGTTAACAAGGACATTCTCCCAGTCCCCGCTGGTCCCCTGCAGTTCTTCATTTCCATAAGAAGATTAGGAGTGCAGGGAACACACTCAAATGCAGATGCAGAAAAGAAGCGTTTTTAACAAGCAATATAATAGCGCAATGCTTGGCTAGGCTCTCACCTAATTACTGCAACTTAAACCTCTATTTGCTTCTCAGGACAAAAACACGTTTGTGCGGTTCCTGGACTTTCCCTAAACTTTTGTTCCATCAACCTTCTACCTGAGAGCCACTAATCAAACTTTCTGAGGACTGCTGCCTTATGGCTCCATAGTAGTACAAATATGTCCTTATTAATACAAATATGGCATCTTCAGAACAGTCTATAAAAACCAAGAAGTACAGTGGATTTATCATATTTTATAAATGCTATCCCAAGAATATACATTGGAAATGCAGATGAGGATTTCAGTGCGTATTAATTACCTGCAGATGATGCCTTAATCATAGTGCAATTTAATAGATTTACTACAAAAAAAATAATAAAAATAATGAAATTAATTGAAACATTGGGCTTTAATTGCAACGGGAAAAATATTGTATTCACTGATTTTAAGGAATTATTAGTACAGTTGATACGACAGATTCCTGCATTGTTATAGCATAATATATAAGTGATCTACTTCTAAATGTATCACAGCGTCCCATAATATCCTATTAGTTTTCTTTCTTTATAGAAAAAAACATGATTCTATATTTTAAAAATGAAACTTCAGTGTCTTACTTGCCTGAAAATAATATTAAACACAAACACAAAGCTATCTTGGCGTAAGCTGGGAGCAACACAGGAACAAAACCCAAAACGAATCAAAATATAGCGAGCTGAATAAAGAAATCTGAACCAATGCGATAGATCATTAATTGTATGATAAAACCTCATCTATAACTAAAGCGGCTGCTTGTAAAAGACAGGGAGAGGAGTTCCGCGACCGGCCATTAGGCGGCGCTCTTACACCACGAGTATCTGAAGGACTTTCCAATGAACCTGCTTCTTTAATCCAATGAATAACCACTTTACCATCAATTGGAGGGAGATCAGAAAATCTCTGGTGTGATCTTCAAACTTATTCCAAAATAATTCTCTAGAAGAGAGTATGCTGTTCGGCATAAATGGGATACGATATCCTGGCAGCTCCTGAAATTTCATATATATATAAATTCTGTATAATAATAAAAATACACTATGCAAAACACACACATATATTCGTATATGCATTAATAAATCAATAACCGTCTGTATGAATATATATATATATATATATATATATATATATATATATATATATATATATATACATAATACAAATAAGTGTGTGTGTAGTGTGTGTAGTGTGTATGTGTGTGTGTGTATATATATATATAGTTAGTTAGTCTGGTTAAAAAAGACAAAAGTACATCTAGTTCAACCATTAAAAAAAAAAGTTGTAATCTTACCCACAGCTGATCCAGAGGAAGGCAAAAAACCCCCATCAAAGCATGATCCAATTTGCTCCTGCAGGGGAAAAAAAATCCCCCCCCCGATCCTGATATATGTAGAGAGAGATTAGGTAGGTGACTATAAATATCTGTAAAGCTATAAGGGGATGACCACCAATTATTTATAATTCTTAATATTTAGTGGTCATCCTTTATAAACTTACAATCTTTCTCTCTTTTTCTATAGTGAGGGAGAGAGAGAGATCTATATTACAGAGAGAGACAGAAGAGAGAAAGAGAGAGAGAGAGAGATTGTAAATTGATAAAGGATGACCACTAAATATCTAGATATTTAGATAAATAATTAGTGGTTATCCCTTTATAGGTTTATGGATATTTATAGTCACCTACTTAATATCTCTCTCTCTCTCTCTATATATATACATATATATGTGTGTGTGTGATATGTAATAGAGTGTAGGGGGTAATAATTATTATGTAAAGGGCTGTGCAAGCTGTTGGTACTATATCAATCCTGTAATAATATAATAATTATACATATTATACATTTATAAAAGGGTGACCACTAGTATAGATAGACTTGGTTGTCACAACATATAGGGGTTGATTTCTTAAAACTGGAGAGAGCTAATCTGGTGCAGCTGTAGCCAATCAGCTTCTAACTTTAGCTTGTTCAATTAAGCTTTGACAATAAAATCTGGAAGCTGATTGGTTTCTACGCTGAACTGCACCAGATCCAGATTTTGTACTCTTCAGTTTTAGAAAATCTCCTAATCTCCTCCATAGATTTTTAGAGGTCCCCTCCTTTTATACATATACTGTACTTAGTGGTCATCCCCCTTAAAACTTGCAATCTCTCTCTCTATATATATATATATGCAAGGTATATAATAAACATATAGATTAAACAAATCTCTCTCTCTATATATATATCAGAGATCACAGCATGTTACAATCCCTTTTGTTCTGAACAAATCTGTTGTGCCATACCCTGTAATAAGAATTAATGTTGTTGCAGACAAAGAGCCCAGTGTGTCCAATATTTATTTGTTGTTGACTGTACTTTAGATACACAGCTTTGCACAAGGGAATGGAAGTAATCTTAGAAGTGTCTTTGTCTGGCTCTGTGTAGTTACAACAAGAGAAACAAAACTAGCTACTTGTAAGGGCCATGCTGCATTTCTTTTAGTATTGATGCCCCCCCCCCCCCCCCCCCATGGAAATCTTTAGATGGTGACAATAGAGGAACTTCTAAAATTACCCTCTGCCTTCCCCCAATTCAGAGCGATCCATGGGGCCCTTCCAATCCCTGCAGGATTTTTCCATTTCCCCAGAAAACAGCACAAATCCGCTTTCAGTCCCTAATATCCCCCTTATTTCTATGGATATGTTCTGCCATCGTTGATGTGAAAGTAGTGAATGTCTCCTATTTATGAATGTATTCGATTGTAAGCTCCTATGCGCAGGCCCCTTATCTGTCCTGTCTCCTGTAAAGCGCTGCGCTATCGAATAATGATATAATAATGAACTTGCATTTTCGGCTTATGTTATTTTCTTGTAATCTGCTCCGGTGTCAGGATTGAGAAGTATTCGGTTGCCATGGGGAGATTGTATAGAAGGAGATTGCTGGGGGTGTAGTACTAGGAGTGGGAGGGATCTGCAGACACCTGCACTCCGATCTTTGTGAATAGGGCGAGTTAGTAAAGAAAAAAAAAAACTAAAAGTGACAGTTGGGCGCACTGCAGACAGGTGTATGGAGGACACGGGTTGGGAAGGGGTTAAGCCGCGCTCGTAGTATTCGAAGTTTCAGCAGTGCAGTCAGGAGAGCCCCGTCCCCCCACTTCCTCCTCTCCTAGGCGTGTGTGACCTGTTGCTCCTGTTTGATGGGAGGGGGGCGTGGGGAAGCGAGGCTGCTATAGGTTGCCAGCAAAAACAGCTCCCACCCCTTTTTGCCACGCCTACTCTCATGCAAAAAAAAAAAAAAAATAGCAGCCGAGTCGAGGGGGCTGCCCCTGCCTGGCGTTCTGATTGGCCGCCGCGAAGCCATTTATTCCCTGACAGCCCCCATCACATGGACGGTTGTCTATTAACTTGTTTCAAAAAAGTAGCAGGACTTGTCAAAGGCGCACGATGAAAAGTAGTTTGCTGGCTGTGTGAGGAGAAGGCAGGGAGTTGGGAAAGCCAAGCAGCAGCAACAACAGCAGCGGCAGAGAGGGGGGTTCCCGGGCTACCAGGTGAAGCCGCGGGCTTGCTTTTTTTTTTGTGCCCGTAGACCCGAACCGACACCAGCCGCGTGAATGTACAACATGATGGAGACCGAGCTGAAGCCGGCCGCCCCCCAGCAGCAGTCCGGGGGTACCGGCAACTCCAACCCGTCCGGCGCCAACCAGAAGAACAGCCCGGACCGGGTGAAGCGCCCCATGAACGCCTTCATGGTATGGTCCAGGGGCCAGAGGAGGAAGATGGCCCAGGAGAACCCCAAGATGCACAACTCGGAGATCAGCAAGAGGCTGGGCGCTGAGTGGAAGCTGCTGTCCGAGGCCGAGAAGAGACCCTTCATCGACGAGGCCAAGAGGCTGCGAGCCCTGCACATGAAGGAGCACCCGGATTATAAATACCGGCCCCGGAGGAAAACCAAAACCCTCATGAAGAAGGATAAGTACACCCTGCCCGGGGGATTGCTAGCTCCTGGGGGCAACTCCATCAGCTCCGGGGTCGGGGCCAGCCTGGGAGCCGGGGTCAACCAGAGGATGGACAGCTACGCCCACATGAACGGCTGGACCAACGGCGGCTACGGCATGATGCAAGAACAGCTCGGTTACCCGCAACACCCGGGCCTCAACGCCCACAACGCCGCGCAGATGCAGCCCATGCACCGCTACGACGTCAGCGCGCTGCAATACAACTCCATGAGCAGCTCCCAGTCCTACATGAACGGCTCCCCCACCTACAGCATGTCCTACTCCCAGCAAGGGGCCCCCGGCATGACCCTGGCTTCCATGGGCTCCGTGGTCAAGTCCGAATCCAGCTCCAGCCCGCCCGTGGTCACCTCTTCCTCCCACTCCAGGGCTCCTTGTCAGGCGGGGGACCTCCGGGACATGATCAGCATGTACCTACCTGGGGCAGAAGTGCCAGAACCAACTGCCCAAAGCAGACTGCACATGTCCCAGCACTATCAGAGCGCATCGGTACCAGGCACAGCCATCAATGGCACGCTGCCTCTATCACACATGTGAAACAAAACAAAACAAAATCACAACTATCAAAAAAAAAACTTTTATTAGAGTTTGGACTTTTTTTGGACTATTTTTGTACAGAGAAAAAAAACGGGGAGGGGGTTAAAAAAAGAACTTGTAAAGTACCAGAGAGAAAAAAAACTTTAAAAAGTTCTAGGTAGGAACTTTTTTTTCAGAATTATTTACCAATAATATTTAGAGCTAGTCTCAAAAAGTGATGACAAAAAAAAATGTTTTATTATTTGCGAGGAACTTTTGTACAGTATTTATCAGATCAACCAAGGCGATCCAAGTGCTATTGTTTTCCAAGCTGCGACTTTGCCAATCTTTTTACACTCATAGGTCAATGCAGCTTTTTTGGGGGGGAAGGGGAGGGGGGGATGAAGCTGCCCTGGGAACACATTTTTTTTTCTTTTTTTCCTTTACAATTTGGACATACCCATAAAATAACAGGACAAAACCAGATCCATTTAAAAAAAAGCACACAAAATTGTGTACTATTATTTTTTTTATTATTATTATTATTGATTGTTAAGAGCAGTCATTGACTCAGTTGTTTAATTTATAATAGGCTGTTTTCAAAGTCTTCATCCTGTTCAGATAAAAACAAAACAAAAAAAAAAAGCAAAATGAAACTACTGTGTTTGAAATATTTTCTTATGGTTTGTAATATTTCTGTAAATTTATTGTGCTGATATTTTAAGTTTTTTTTTCTCTCTCTCATTTTCAGTAGATGTATTTTAAAAGACTCGGCTCGGTTGTTGCCGACAGTCCATGTATATATATATATGAACTAATACCACTCTTATAACAGGTACATTTCCCGCTTAAGTTTTTACTCCATTCTGCACAGTTTGAGATAAATAAATTTTTTTGAAATATGGAATCTGACATCACGTGGAGTGTTTGATTTATTTGGTATCATTTTATATGGATGGCTAGCACATACAAAAAAAAGAAGCTAATTTTATGTTATTGATGGCAGAATGACAAATGCGATATATACCTAGGTAGATCTGAACAAATCAATTCTTTTATTCTACTGTTTGTATGGAATTGGGGGCCATTGCAGATAGTTTCACGTGGATGATGTCATGTTTTCTAATCAAATGCATTTTAATAGCAGAGTAATCTTAATGTGGTAACAATGATCAGATGACAAGGAGCCGGCATTTAATGGAACGTCTATCTGCATACAAGGTAAATGTTGCTTTGACATTTGGTGATAAAGTGGATCAGTGTAATGCACCCGTCAAGCTTCAGCTTCTACTTTGTATTTTCAAGGCAGAACAAAAGTTCTCTGTATTGAAAACAAATTGCGCCTATTACAGCTGTTTTAATCCTATCTCTAAATTGCCAGCGGGGTCCCAAAAAAAAACTGGATAATATCTCCAGCTGATAACAGAGAAGCCTTGCCTGGGCCCTTTTACAAGAAGGAAGCATCAGCCACGAGGTAGCGTTTTACTTTTAAAAGCTCAATTCATGCTGATTTTCTTTTTTTTTTTGTACTATTATTTTTTTAATCTGTATATTTTTATATGGCTTATCCATGCGCTGTCCATGCTTTGTCAATGCCACCAGGGCTGCCTGTTCACTGACACTCTAGATAAGTGAATTAATTTATGGAGTATTGATTAGGAGATAGCGCTTCTGGTCACTTGTTATGGTTTTGTCATTGTAGGCGGATAGAGATAACAAATAATCAATATTTAAAGGCAATCTGTTGTCAAAGTCACAGACTTTTTTTTTAAGATCACTCTTTTTGTAGGAACTGAACAGGCTTAGAAGTGTTAAATAGAGTTTGTGGTCTTTGCCCTTTAATTCACCTAACCTACATAAATGATACTTCAGCAAAAAAGGTTCAGCAGGCCAGCAAAATTCAGAGTAATGACTGACTTTTGTGCATTAGAGGCTTAAAATCGTTTGGTAATGTGCGACATTTGACAACTTGGGCTGTATTGGCAGGAGGACGTTCTGAGAGGGTTTTAGTACCCAGGTTTTGGCAGGTCGTTAGAAGGTGGAACTGTCTCTTTGTCACGCCAGTCTTCCTATAAAGATGTGCAGAGATTACCTTTATAGATCGTCAGCTCTATGTACAATTATTGATGGCCTTTAAGCATGCACTTTGGTAGTGCATGTTTGGCAAAACAAACAAGTAAGTTTGGAGCAGTATGATAAATAGGACTGTTTTATTGTCAGTATGATTACTATCGCTATACTAATTCCATTTCTGTTATGTAAGTCATAAATAGTGCACAGGGAAATTGAAATAGTAAATTAAACATTAATATATGTGTGTCAAGTGTAATAAATAAATATAATATATATATATATATATATATATATATATATATATATATATATATATATATATATAATCGGTATAGTAGAAGCTCTATGTGTATATTGTTAAAATTGAGTAGTATTTAATGTAGGGCATTTTAGGTTTTTTTCACACATCCACTATTCATGTATATATATATATATATATATATATATATATATATATATATATATTTAGAACAGATATTTATATATTTAGAATATACATGGGTATAGTTGTGGATGTGTTAAAAGAAAGACTCTCTAAGATGCTGTGTGCCTCAGGGATGAAACGTTTTAGTTCATTTTATGCCCCCCCTCCCCATGTCCCAAAAATGCTTGGCTTTTCCTCCAGCATGGTCCTTGGAGCTGGCAGCCCTGGTTGGGTTTGAGAGTAATGTCTCACTAACCTTACATAATGTTTAGATGAATCCATTGATGAGATTAAAGTTTCCCATGTGAATTTTTGAAGCGGAGTGGTAAAATATTTTGTCGTATAGGGGAGTAGATTAGCAGGCATCCTTGCCAAGGCAGACTAAACTGGTAATACATACAGTCTCAGGGGAAGGCAGCTCACATTAACTGCTAAATGAATATTTGACAAGGGCTCACTGTGAGGCATTATTACTACAAACGCGTCCCTACTGGACTTTCAAAGGGTCAGAGGGCATCGGTTCAATTAATTATTTATACCGCTTGTTCTTGCACGGCGTTATCCTGCAATTGACATGTTCTTACGGTTGGCGCTCTCTAGAGATCTAGAATTCTAGATATGAAATACAAAAAAAAGAGAGAGGAGATGGATGGTTGAGGCACTTGGCTCTAAAATAAATAGCTTTGATTTGATGCTTATCTGTATTAATTAGACTGTAGAAATTAGATCAACTGAGAGATAGATAGATAGATAGATAGATAGATAGATAGATAGATAGATAGATAGATAGATAGATAGATAGAGTGTGAGAGATATGTTTTTATAGAATATTTAGGTTGGCCCAGGGAAATTTTGCTTGGCAATTACAATAAAGATCAGGAGAAATTTCAGTTGTAAACAAGGTAAAATGTATTGTCTGTAAGGTGAAACTATCCTAATTTAGCTGTAGGCCAACCTAAAAACTGCCTCTTTAGGTTGTAGAAATTAGAACAACTAAGATATATCGATAGATCCTTATAGAATATTTAGGCTGGCCGAGAGAATTTGGGATTGCCAATTATAATCAGGTCCAGGACAAATTTCAGTTGTGAATAACTTAATGTATTGGCTATCTGAAACTATCCTAAATTAGCTGTAGGCCAACCTAAAAACTGCCTCTTTAGAAACTACATAAATTAAGACAGACAGAAAGATAGATAGAGACAGAGAGACAGATAGATTTTTAGGATGTCATGTTTAGGATGGCCGAGCAAATGTTTGACTGACCAGTATCTAATCAGGTTCAGGACAAATTTCACTTCTAAATAACTATAAATGTATTGGCTATTTGAGATGTAAAGATAGATAGATCGATAGATGTTTTTTTCATAAGAGTTGTATTTAGGATGCCCCTCCAAATGTTTGAATGACAAGCATCTAATCAGGTTAAAATCTCTCTTGTAAATAACTATAAATGTATTGGCTATCTGAGATGGATAGACAGATTTTTATAGAATAGTTCAGCCTGCCCAGAGAAATTGTGCTTGGCAATTATAATCAAATTCAGGAGAAATTTCAGTTGTAAATAAGGTAAAATGTATCTAAAACTATCCTAAATTAGCTGTAGGCCAACCTAAAAACTGCCTCTTTAGGTTGTAGAACTTAGATCAGCTAAGATAGATAGATAGATAGATAGATAGATAGATAGATAGATAGATAGATAGATAGATAGATTCTTACAGAGTATTTAGGCTGGCCTAGAAATTATGCTTGGTAATTATAATCAGGTTAAAAAAAATGTCTATTTAAATTGTAGAAATTGGATAGATAGATAGATAGATAGATAGATAGATAGATAGATAGATAGATAGATAGATAAGAGTCATATTTGTGCTTGACAGCCATCTGATCAGGTCCAGGACAAATTTCAGTTGTTTTGAATAACATTATTTATTGGCTAGCCTAACTTTTCTAAATTATCTATAAACCAGCCTAAAACTACTATTTGAGATTGTAGAATCTAGATAAAACAAGAAATAGATAGATAGATAGATAGATAGATAGATAGATAGATAGATAGATCTTCAAGGGTCATATTTAGCTTGGTCCGGTGATGTTGTGCTTGACAATCATCTAATCCGTTTTATGATACGTTTCAGTTGTTGTGAATCATTTTATTTGCATTGTCTATCTAAAACTATCCCAAATGATGGCCACAGGCCAACCTACAAAACTACCCCTTCAGTAACCAGCCCCTAGTTATCTATATAATGTATATAAGCATCATTTACCGATGTTGTTAGAGTTCGGGAAGGTGTAATTACTTTCCACTTTAGGCTTTGAAGCTTAAATATCATTTTATGAGCTGCTTGTTCTCCGCCACTATTTGGAGAAATGATCGCCTTGGGCGGTGGGCTGTAGCGCCTAGACACCAGCTGTTGTACCGGCACCTAAGGCCATTATAAATTGGGGGATCTTCTCCCCTGAAAAGCTATCCAAATGTCCACGTGTATGGTCTGCCACACTTTCTGCTTTTTCTCGGCAG